TAGCGTTTGTGACGGAGTTAGTATTATTATTGGGGTTATTAGAATTGACGCGTTGACTGACATTGTCAGATGGAGTGCGAGGGGCATGTACATTATGAGGTTTAGAGCGTTGCTGTTGCATATCGGCTTACTCTGTTGCGGTTAATTGGGTAAGTAAAGTGAGTGTTGTTAATTAGTGATTTAGTCACTACTTTTAGTTTTTTATATATATATATATATATATATATAGTCTTGCTTTTTCGAATTTGAAAAAGCCACAAATGAAAGTTTTAATAGTTTTAATAAAGTAAAAAAAAAAAAACGGTAATGACAAATATGACAGACAAGTCGTACAGTAACAACTCACGTGATTCAATTGTTTTACTTAAAAAAAAAAAAAAAAAAAATCGCGAACACACAAATGAATATTAAATTTATATTATGTTACAAAAAAGAAAACTAATTACATGAATGCTTAAGGTTTATCCTAGCACTATTGATTACAAATGTCTTTCTCCTCGTTTAAAAAAAATTAGTCTTGAATAAACCTCATATCCTTATCTATCAAAGTATGTATATGCGCAAAATATATTACAATTGAATAAAATTGTTACGCGTCACTAAGACAGCACCAAAAAACATTAGATCAGATCAATTGATTGATGCATTTCTTTTTTCTTTTTTTTTTTTTTTTTTAGATGAGTTGCTTACCTGATTATTTATAATTAATTGATTAAAATGCAAATTTATGATGCAATGAGTTGAATTAGCGAAATCGAATAAAAAAAAAAACAAATATTTATAGATGAAAGAAAATCGAATTAAGGAGTGTAAAGGGAATTAGGGAAGAAGAATGAATAAGGGCCGATTTCAATAAAATCGAATTAAAAAAAGGTATTGTTCAGAATAGGGGGATAGTTCATTGCCAGGCCAAGAGTGGATATATGTAGAAAGTATATCACTCGAGTTTTAGATAGCATTGACGGAAGAATGAAACTTGCATATATTCATATTCTATTGTATGGAACATCTCTTTTTTTTTTTATTACGCCGTCGTGTAGGAGATTGCCGATTTATCTGGCGAACTAAATCATAAAAGACCTCATCTACATGAATCCGATGTCTAGCAGAAGTTTCGTAAAAGGCAGTGTGACCCCAAGTTTGGGAAAGTGCAAGACCTTGCTTTCTGGTAACCATTCTATCTTTTTCAAGATCACATTTGTTACCAACCAATACCATTGGAACCTATAATTATGAATTTCAAGATAAATATTGGTTGTGTATATAATTACGTATAATTACGTAAGTTGATTAAAAAGAAATATAATTAATTTACCGTATCAGAACCTTTTACTTTTATAATTTGTTCCCTTAACTCTGCTAACTCTTTTATTGTTGATTGTTCAGTAATTGAGAACATAAGGATGAAACCTTGTCCGTTTTTCATGTACAAATCTCTCATGGCAGCAAATTGTTCAGTTCCTGCCGTGTCTAATATCTCCAATACGCAGATTTGGTTATCAACTTCTATCTGCTTTTTATATGAATCTTCAATTGTTGGATCATAACGTTCAACGAACATGGATTGTACAAATTGAACGGTCTAAAACGAAAACATGCATTAAAAAATATATATATATATTATTTAAAAGGTTAGAATTTTAGAATTTCGAAAATAATAATAAAATTCAAAAATGACAAAAAAAAAAAAAAAATGCTAACCAACGCCGACTTGCCAACACCACCAGATCCTAAAACCACCAATTTGTATTCCCGCATCGCGGTCCCAGAAGCCTTCAAACCGAACCGGTTCCTTTTTGACGATGTGGGTCGGTACGTGGCTCCGTTCTGTTTCTTTTTCCTATCACAGAGGAACACTAAGGAAAATGGTAAAGACCAAAGAAAAGAACAGGGATATAAATACTGATAGTGATAGCTTGGCGTTGAAATAAAACAAGGTTTTTACATCCAAATCAACAAGAATAAACGGAAAAAGAGGTATAAAATTAAAAAAAAAAAAAGAGAGAAAAAAAAAAATTAAGTAAATATTAGCGAGATACAAACTTGTGTCTACTTGCAATTTTGGGGAAAATATTTCTTCAAAGTTGTACAATTCCCGCGTCTAAGGTATGACCAAACTATCACACGAAACTCGAATGCGTGAAAACAAAGTGACGAATAACCAAATTCGAATTAGCACGATTTAAGATTACAGGTTCTCGAACTAGATTCGAAAAAACGAATGAATAAAAATTTAAAGGAGAAAGAATATACTTTATATAAAAAAATTCTCGAGGAATTAATTAAAGTATTATGAAGTGTTAGTGTTACAACGCAGTTTTTTTTTTTCTTTTTCTTTTTTTTTTTTTTTTTTTTTTTCTTCTTACGAGAATGCTGATAATGCTGATGAAGACAAAAAAATCAAAAATTAAATGCGAGAAGTGCGTTGTGGCTTCTTAGTTAATTTCAGAATTAGGTAAAAGATTTACATAGTACCCCCCAAAGATCGTCATTAACTAATTTTCGAGCAATGCGTTTCGAAAATTTTTTTCTCTCGACTTTCTGCTTTGAAAATTTTACAGTTCGTTAATTGGATAAATCACTCGGAAATTAGTATTAGAACAATGAATTGCCTAGAACACGTGCATATAAATTATTCGGAAATCGCCGGCTTTGAATACGGATCTAGATTCAAAAAAGTATTGATAATTATTCCATAAATATAAATTTAATGCATTATTTATTATTATACATGTGTACTAAGAAAAATAGAATATCTGACTAACTAAACATATTTAGAGTTTGTATACAAAAAAAAAAATAATTCTTTTTTTATACTATGGAAAAATCAAATCCTGTGACGCCTAATTATCGCACTGTTTCACATGTCTATAATTGTAAAGATTAAATTGTGTCGATTTAGTATCACAGAAGTTGAACGAAAGTATAAATTCATAGTACAAATCATACAATCATAGTATAAATCATTTAAGTCATGTGCACTTGAACGATCCAAATTTAAACAATTCATTTGATTATATTTCGTATCATGGTACACTACTTTTTTTTTTCTTATCTACATGTAAATTATATGAGAAAAAAGAATCACGTATTGAATGTTTCACGTTTCCGAATGCAATAAGAATATTAGCATTAAATGCAAAAACTAATAATATCGACGGATGCTAGTCTTTATATACACTAAGAAAAATGGGCTTATTATGACATCAATGTTGTTAGCACAGCTCTTTGATAATTTATAATGCAGTGATGTAAATATCATATGTTTTACTTTTTTTGGCACGGGGGTAATTTTAAGAGTAAATCAATGAAATGCCTTGTAAAGTTAATTTTTTCATTTATGAATCACGGGGTAAGATGTCAGAAACTTAATTCCGTAATTAATTATACATACTGTATAATCGAAAATCGGTTACTATTTTTTTTCCCCCTGCCGGAGATCGGTTACAATTTGAATTAAACCGGGTTGAGTTTAAACCGAAAACTTAGTTTTTATTGGTATGTCTGCAAGTATTTTAATTAAAATCAAATAAATTTAATCCCCTTTCATACTGTACATCAAAATATCGATAAAAATAAATATTTTTAATTTTGGAAACCAATATAATATAATATAATATAATATACAGCATATATACTGTAATATAGTATATATACACTGTAATATAGTACTGTACTATATTACTATATTACAGTACGTATTACTGTATTACAAAAATCTATTTAACTCAAAATTTAAAGTTTAATATTAACCGGTTCCGACAAAATGTACAAAATTTAAATAATTTTAACAAAACAAGCATCAAAGATACTGATACTTATCAACTGACTAACCAATTTCTCCAGAGTGCGTCTAACTATATATAAATTCTTACAGTATGTCTAATGAGATATGTCACTGGGATGATTTTCGAGATGTAATATATACCTTTTTATTAATATCCAATTTTCGAGCTAATAATCTCATTGCTGGAAATTAGCACGCTTCTGCAATAAAAAAAACGAAGGACTTACATAACGATATAATTTCGAGTTACTATGAGTTACTATGCGTTACTTTAGATGATTTATCAAATGGTCTTATTTGAATACATACAGATAAATAAAGTTAGCATCATTTTTTTATTTGCAGAATGCCTGTAATACCTCAAATATACTTCTCGTGATTTGCGTGAATGACATCATATTCGCGCGAAATAATTTCCGAATCTCTCACATGATCGCGCGAAATTACGTGACGTGACATAATCCACGCGAGGTATGTGAAACATATGCCATGTTTACAGTATCTCGCGAGAAGTACATCTCCAGTAATATACCGCCAAAAAGACCAAGTTGCAATAATAGTAATTTTCTGGATATGACTAACTTTTTTATATTGTAAAGTTGCGAAATAACGAACATGGTCATTATTTCAAAATCGGTTCCCTCAAAAATAACGTGCTTAGTTTCAAAGTAACGCGCACTTCATATAATTATTGTATAGCAGATAGCAGATGACATACTTGAAATAATACGCAGGTGATCGAAATAAGCGCAGATGCCCTTTTTTTTTTCTCAAATAAATTGGTAGCAAAAAAAACTTATACAGTAATATCGGAAAAATATTTCATACTCTAAATATCACCATACTTGGTGAATATCTGTATTACTGTATGTCGCTACAAGTCAATATGTAAAGTATTACTTGGTACTAGCGAACTTTATATGTAAGAGTTGGTAATAACAAAGTTTAATAGTTATCAAGCTAGTTACATGATTCAAGTTACAGTAATATCAACCCCGTTAATATCAACCTAGGCTATAAAATGAATTTCAATATGTTAAAATTATATAAAAACTCCCTTATATATCAACTTTAAATATGTTTCCTCATTAATGTCACTATCAACATGAATATAAAAGCGATCCAAATAGGTTGATATTAATGAGGGACAATTGTATTACATGATTTAAATTTATAGTATTTCGTAAAGAAATAAAGATTCCACTCTATAGACTCAAAATAAAAAATTATATCCATTAATGATTCCAGAAATTAATAAAGTTAAAAAAGTAAGGCCCATTCCTACTCGTCTCCATATGTTAACTGCTAACTTATTATTATTGTCATTAAATGCCAATTCAGCATGACAAATCCTCGACACTAATAATGCTCCACACGCAACATGTATCCAAGTCGATGACAAGTATTTGTTAATCTCGATAAAGAAAATCGATAATAACCCTAATGGAATGTATTCCGAAAAATTTGCATGCGCCCTAACAGTTCGTTGAAGATGTCGAAGTTTGGTGTAGTCTATGTTCACGTGACTGTACGGATGTGCCGTTTTTGTTGACGAATCCACTTCAGGTAGAGATTTAGTGCGTTCTTGATCGATAAAGGAGATGAATTCGAGTATACTAAAATTAATTGTATGTAACAAGGTTATTTCAGTTTGCTAGTACATAAATCTGTGACTAAAAACTTACCCATCTCCAAGAGAGATATGATATTTTCTCCTAAGTGATATAATTCGAAATGATAAAATCACGTAATAAAATGCAAAAATGCCCGTATAAAATGGAACAATCTTAAATGTGCCTTCCATGTTACAAGAATATTGGATATCAAGAATATTGGATGTCAAGAATATTGGATGTCAAGGTTTTTTCAAGATTTACTTTCTCTTCATTTTGAACTATCTTCATTTATATATGATTCTCTTCGGCAAGGAATTTACTCTTATTAGGTAAGCGGCAAGTAATTTAACCGACATCATACGTGACAATTTAACGGTTGTTAGTTAGAAGCATATATTATTCGTAAATTGTTACACTTTGTGATGTCGATTAAATTACCTGTCGGTAGCTAAATGAGTGCGTAAAAACCTGCAGTTACATATAATGATTTACTACGTATGATAAGTTACAGGTTTTCGCTCTCACGCACTTATGTAGAGAGTAATTTTTAGTAGTTTGATTCAAGAAATAAATGTGCCTATAAAGATGATATCAGATATGCTTAGAGGTGCTTATATGGGAATGCGACTGTATATTTCATACGATTCAGCTCATGTGTTTAGTCGGAATTATTCAACTTTTTAAGTATAAGAGACATCTTTCTGCAGTGCGCAATTTAGATTAAAAAAAACAAAAAATTCACGAAACGTCTAAATTTCGGGTTACCAAATACGTATGCTCCGTTATCTGTAATGTAATATTATCAATTCGTGTTAATTTTTGGTTACCCAAACTCAATCGTTACCACTATTATTATTTTGTAATAAATTAATTTGTTTTGTTTATTGATATATACGTACGAGTTTATTATCGAATCATTTTTTATTGCTTTGAACCAATTATTTTTATATAATAATCGGAGGTGAAATTTACCAAGCATGCTATTTCTCAAAACGGCTTAGTAATTAGTGTTTGAAGTACTAAACAAAAATGTTTAACACCCCAAAAAACCCTAAACCTAACCTCTCTAAATCTAAAGTATAATTCTAAATAAAAAATTTCTATAAAATCTTAAAACAATAATAATAATAATAATAATAAACATATACTAATGAAATCCATCTTCGGTGATTTTTAAATTAATTTTTTACGTATACGTACAGTAAATTATTTTTTAAATTTCTTATTAAAGTAATATCCTGATAAGTATTAACAAAATTTATACAGTATAACATACTGTATTGTTTTTGTTTGTATTTGTAAATTGTATACGTATTTTTTAAAATTTTATTGTATCCATTAACGCTAAATCTACATATTCTTTTTATTAGTATTAACGATTCTAATTTTAAAAGTAAAATAAAAAAAAACTTTTAATAATATACAGCACTAATATTATATAAAAAATATATTTTATTTATAAAAAATTACAAATAAAAATTAAAAAAATAAAAATAATTACAAATAAGAATCCACAATAAAGATTTACGTATATTTAGAAGCCTAAAATTTGAAATTATTATAAATAAGAATCTTATTGATTTTTAATTGTATTAGTTATTAGTACAAATTATATAAATTTGTGCTATTTATTTTTTTTTAAGATTAATTAGTTATTAAAATTGATTATATAATTTGTATAATAATACATTAAATTAACCTAATTTTTATACATATTGTTACAATGCTACGGCCTTCTTGGACACCACGTAGCAAGGTAACAAGGTCACCCGGTGCAGGGACTCTGCTATTGGGGTGTACACGGGGTGGAAGTGGAGTGTGCTTTAACTTCCACTAGTAGGAGGCAACGGTTCAACATTGGGAACAGTATATAAACTTAATACTTTATTTATTATAGATCAAGGAGGATAACCTCATATACTAGGATTATTCTGGAAGGAGTATACCACACTATACAAGACAAGAAGAGTAAGAAGATAAAGCTAGATTCTATATTAGCAAATTTAATAGGGCATAATATTGTAAAATAATTTACGAAGTGTAAGAACACCATAATATTATGTAATAACTTTTGCAATATTGTAAAATATAAAATTACAAAATATTACATAAGATTATTACACAATATTATGCAAGAAATTATGCAATTTTACATAAAATAATTTGAAATAATTCGAAACAGATAGAGATAAATTAATGTGAACTATAAAAGCAAAATAATTCAAAATAATTCGAATTATATTAAAAATATTTGCAATAATTAAAAATAATTAAAATTAAAGAGCTAAAATTTTTAAATGACAATATTCAAGAATGAAACAGATTGAGATAAATTACTATAAACTATGAAATAATTCAAATTATATTATATTAAAATAATTTGAAATAATTAAAATAATTAAAATTAAAGAGATAAAATTTTTAAACATCAATATTCAAGAATAAAACAGATTGAGATAAATTACTATGAACTATGTTAAAAAAAAAAATTAAGTTGTATTATAATTTGGACAAATACTTTATTCTTTACAACACAAAGGTATTAATATTAATAAAAGAAATTGTAATATTTGAATTGCATCAGCGAAATATATTAACGTAATTTTATGTAAGTTATTACGGCCCGAAACATTGCGCAATAATTACGGTCTGGACATAATATTGCGCAAAAAGTTGCGAAATATTGC